TCCAAAGCACTCGTATATCAAAGCGAATTTTCCCATTAGAAATCACGGAAACTCATATGATCCATTCCATAACTCAAAAATATTCATATAAAAATTATTAATACAAAATACAAAGTAAAAATACATAAAACAAATTAACCTGCGCTTTACCTTAGAAAAGAATCGTGGATGGTGTGAGGGAGACGAGAGACGAGAAGAGGAGGGTTATTTTGTAGGATGACATTCACTATAATTAACGGAATCACTGCTATCTGTTGGCTCACTGGAATCTTTTTCTGTTTGTGCAACTTTAACAAGGAACCCATCCAATGACAGCCTCTTTTGCCTCCTTTTTGATTTCACAAAAATCTGGACATTGCATTGTCGTTAAACAGATTCATCGCTCGCACTGCTACGCCCTTCTTCAGGTGGTGCTTTTCTACTAAATTTTGACTATACGAGTGAGGCATGCCGATTGAGACCGAGCATGGGAGACGATTACCCACAATTCCACAGCATGAGAAAGTGAATAACCATTGGTTCAGTTGTGATGACGTGCGCTCGCCGTCAAAACAAGAAGCGCACGCATGTGCTTCCTGTTTTGAAGCCGAGCGCACGTAAAAACAAGAAAAACAAGGAGCGCATGTGTGCCATATGATTTTTGATGATACTTGGCGCTCGTAAACCAGGACTTGCTCGGTTTCCAAGTCAAAATTTATTTAAAAATCTTTGCTCGTCTTGCGGAACACTCGTAAACCGCGTTACTTGTAATCAGAGGTTCCACTGTACCTGTATTTACAGTATGCAAACCTAAGTAATGTATATTAGAGCTGATTTCCTCTATTCTATTTATTACATTATACAGCACACTACTGCATAAGCATTTATAAACATACTAAAAATGTTATAAGGGTGCACAGGTGACATTTAAATAATGTCTAAAGATGGTTGATACAAATCCACTACCAGTACAGTGAGCATGAAATATGGTTGAGGGGCGGCTTCTCACTTATCAACCAATTCGCTGAACGACCTAGTCATAGGAACGGAACTCTATCGTTAAGTGAGGAGTGTCTGTATTTAGACAATCATTTTGAAAAGGAAGGAGGAGAATCTGGCAAAATAAGTTTTGCAAAGAAATTTAGAAAGGCCATCCCACTAGATCCAAGGAAATTGTGAACCCTAGTGATCATCAGACAACTGACACTGGATTTTATTAAATCTATTCTCTCTGCCAAAGACTGATAACATTTACCTTCAATCAGTGAGCCAGTGGAGAGTCAGAAGGGGTGAGACCGTTTCCCATAATAATAAAAATACTGGAAATGTAATATGTATTTTGAACACATTTATGCAGAGACCACTCAGGCCCAAAGACACCAGTTACCTCCAGCTGGATTCTCCTGCTCATCAGATTTGCTCTCATCTCCTGCTGTCTCAGTGCCCTTCCCGGAAAGCTCGGTGTCGTTGGTGATCTTTGGCTGGTCGACATCCTGGGGAGCCATCAGCTGCTGGTCTATTTCCAACACATTGCAATCGACATCGAACTGCTTGACCTCAGGAGCATGATCTTCACACAAGAGAATGAAACCAGTGTTAGAACACACATACTGTAATAATCTCTGTGCGTTGCAGGGTTTGCTTGTTTTGTGTTTCAATGTAGAAATTTCTAC